ATGTCTAGTATTGTAGTCTTTTACTCTTCCCCTAATTTAATATATCTCCGTTTCTTCTGTTTAATATCTTTGATAAAGAGCCTCTGTATTATTGTGGATAAAGAATAATAAAAATAATTTTTAAGTTACAAACTCCATAGTAGCAGTAACAGAATCTGCAACTAGAAAATTGCTTACAAATGGACTGTGTTACTCTGAAATTACTTATCTTATTTCATGTGTCCAAAAGAGATCTCAGGGGCTTCCCTGGTGGTGCAGTGGTTGGGAATCCACCTGCCAATGCAGGGGACGTGGGTTCGTGCCCCGGTCCGGGAAGATCCCACATGCCGCAGAGCGGCTAGGTCTGTGAGCCATGGCCGCTGAGCCTGTGCATCTGGAGCCTGTGCTTTACAACGGGAGAGGGCACAACAGTGAGAGGCCCGCGTACCACAAAAAAAAAAAAAAAAAAAAATAGATCTCAGGAAAATCCTAGTAAAGATGGCATTTCATGGCATTGAGTTAGCATTTAATAATAATTGGAGAGATGCTAAAGCTTATAAGCCTATTAAGATCTACAGAACAGAAAAAATTGTGTGTATGTGAAATGTTAGGTTCATTTTCTAAGAAGATAGGAGAAATGAAAACATTTTGTTAGAAATGTGCTCATGAGTGAAGTTATGGATGGCTGATTCTTATTGACCATTGCAGACTAAAGAAAATATTTCTCCAAAATATCTGCTTAGATCCATACTGTGCAATTATACTGAGAAGTGGTTGCTGCCTCAAACTTGGGTGATACCATTGGAAACTCTGCATTTAGGGCAGTTGATGAGGGCAGAGTGGAGGAGCCCTCCCACCCCTAACAAAGCTGGATGGAGAGAGAACAGTGTGGTAGAGAAAGAAGCACACAGGCTGGGAGGTGGGTCTGGTTCCCGTCCGGGCTTAGCTTTGAGGCCTTGGTCAAATCACACCATCTCTGAGCCTCAAAGCCCAAAAATGTCTAGCAAAGACCGTAATACCTATGCCACAGGGCTCTCATGAAATCAAACAAGTAAAAACATGCAAAACACCCAGCAGAGTGCTCAGCACACAGTAACTTCTCTAAATAGGTTAGATCCTTCCCTGTGAGACAGGCCTAGAGCCCACACCTTCTAATCTGAGGATACCTCATAGCTTCACAGCCTGGTATCCAGCCTGAGAAGATCCTGTGACTTCCAATATTTTCTACTCTGTTTCTTATATTCTATATTTTAAAAAGAAAAAGAAGTGGGCCAAAGTTGAGTTTTCTTAATAAATGTTAGTATCACTTGCTACACTCTGTGTTTCATTCATTTATGCCTGGTGTTATAATAGAAATTAATTAAAAAGATTACTCTCAAGAATTATTATTTGTTAGAAAAGCTACTATTTTATATAATTCATTTGTGAAGAAACAAAATGATAAAAGACTTTTTTTAAAAATCAAAGAATTGGGCTTCCCTGGTGGCGCAGTGGTTGAGAGTCCGCCTGCCGATGCAGGGGACACAGGTTCGTGCCCCGGTCCGGGAAGATCCCACATGCCGCGGAGCGGCTAGGCCCGTGAGCCACAGCCCCTGAGCCTGCGCGTCTGGAGCCTGTACTCCGCAATGGGAGAGGCCACAACAGTGAGAGGCCCGCGTACCGCAAAAAAAAAAAAAAAAAAAAAAAA